CCGCATTATGTCTTGCGGGAACCAATCTTAATTTTTTTCACACTCTATCCCAGCTGCAAATTTGGGGCGGGACACAATAAATAAAGCTTCGCCGCCAGTTTGGGTCCTTAACACAACTGATCCAGATGGCCAAACGATTCTCTGCTCAGAGGGCCTTGCAAATGATTTTTGAAGAGAGAGAACCATTTGATGATGATGTAGAGGAAAAGGAAGATGTTTCAGAATGTGAGGATCACATTCCTGAGAATTCTGAGTCTGACAGTGACTTTGAAGAAGAGGATGAGATTGAGCATCAGCTAGTTACAAAAAAAAGACGAGCCACAGAACCAGCCGGTCAGCAGGCAAAAAAACAAGTAGCACTTTAATTCATTAATGTGATCTAACAAATGTAAAAGGGCAAATATGAACCATATATGCTGTTTATATTGCTTGTAATTGGGATGAAGTAAACATATGTTGAGTATTTTAACATAAACTAGTTTGATTGTGTTGAATTGAAGCCCAAAAAGGCAGCGGGGCCACCAGACCCACGAACACTGGCTGAGTAACAAAAATATGAACACCACACAAGGGTTAAATAAGATGTAACTAAGCATTTTATTAAAATATAATTAAATATTCCAGCGTCCCTTCAAACGTCAGAAAGCAATCTTTATCGTGATATTCATTTATACTGTGATATCATCGCCCTTCTTTTAAATAATCAAATATATTTCACTTTCTTCTTTACTCGCTTTGATCATCTGTATTCTTCAATGTTAACATAAAAGAGATTACCATTGTCACCATTGCAGCCCAATAAACAAAACTATGTGATAAAAGGTTATAATACAATATCTGGCTTTAATAGTTGGTTAATCAAATCAATGGACATGTCATTTAATTTACTCTTATATTTATCTTTCAGCGATCACAATTTCATTGTTCAGTCTTCCTATTTTTGGTACATATTGACTAATTTCATGAATCATCTATTACTTTGTCCCAAACGTTCCACATTTCCACTTTTCTTTGTCTTTTTGTCTTTTTATTCAGGTAGAGATTCAGAAGCTGCGTCTGTACTGTGATCCCCATCAGAGTGAAAGAGAAACAGCCTGTGAGATTTACTCTGTGGTAAGACCTAAAAAGTGTATCTCCTCTGGAAAGGTCACATTTAATAAAACATGTACATGTCTGCATGCATGAGGCCACCAAGATGATAACTACCATTTTTGTCTCTTTTTTCCACAGGATGATGAAAGGGTAGGTGCATTTTTTAATCTTTTTTTTCTGCATACTTTCAAAATACAGTTTGAATTGATACGATTCAAAGTTAATTATATAAAATGTATTGGATTAGCAATGATCAAATCTCCTCTTGGGACTGAAGTTTAATCTATTAGAAGAAAGTCGTCTTATTTAAACAGTAAGAAAACTTGCATGTAAAAATTACCTTTCTATATTCCTAAACCTCGAACTGGTTGGTATCCGCTTTATGGTTGGCTTTATTGAGGAATGAGAAAGTTTTGAATGTGTTTTGTATACAAATTAATACAGTTTTTGTGTCTGTCTGTCTTTCCTTAGTGTCCTCTGAATCGAACAGCTGCAGATGAGGAAGAAGACTGTAACTGTGTAGTTGGACCAAAAGGGCAGGCGGGCCTACCAGGACGCATGGTAACATTCACGAACGCACACACAGAAGCACTCACACGTATACATACGATATGTTGCTGACGTGTTCTATAAGAATCAAAATTCATTGTACTTATAACTTGTATGTTGCTTCTTTAGCAGTTTAAACATCATTACCTTGAAGCCGCTTCAAGATACATCTCTTAGCAAAATGCTAGATTGAGTTATAATCTACTGTATAAACAAAAGCCTATAGGGACAGCTGTATTAAGCTAAATTCTAAACGTAGTGTGGTAACAAAATGATAATAATGATAGTTGGCGGTGCTTATAATTTATAGGTTAACATATTAACCAGGTTTACAATTTCAGTTTAGCATGTTAGCGTGCTAACATTTGCTAATTTGCAGTAAAGACAAAGTTCAAGTGATGCTAACGAGGAAACGCATATGCTTTACAGATATTAGGTCATAGACCAAAGCATTGGGCACATTTGATGGTAAAAACAAAAAAAGTCAGGCAGTTTCCCAAAGTATTATTACAGTACAGCATATTGTTAAAATGTCATGGCAATCTATCCAATCGAATGGAGACATTTCACTCAAAACTCAGAAATGTTGGGACCATCAGAGAAATGATGATATATCGTCCAGAAACCGTGACTGTCATAGCAATGCATCCAAAATATTGTTGAAATATTTTTTGTCTGGACTGAAGTTGTGGACTGACAAACAAACCTTGCCAGCCATAGAGACTCATTATAACATGGCTTGGCCTCTTCTTTATTTCAAAATAATACAATTCTGTGTGTCATGAGGCAGTGTTTTAATGTTACAGGGTTTCAGAGGGGAGAAAGGGAGGGAAGGACCACCAGGACCTGATGGCAAGTCTGTAAGTACTCATTCTTTTTCCATCACCTTCTGTTTTTTCACCACTTGATAATGTTGTCACCAGTCTCCTTCATTTGCACTGCACTTTATAAAATCTTCTTATGCTGTCTTTGTCACCAGGGTAAAGATGGGAAACATGGGGATCTTGGACCTTCTGGATTTACAGGGATGAAGGTAAGAAAAATCAATTGCATTACACTTCAAAATCGTCACATGCAAGTTCGCATTTCCACTTGGATCTTACCAAACTTCTATTACTCCAAATAGAGGAATACATTTATATCAATGAAATTAAAGTCATGTCCACTCCAGTATTGACTGATTTTCATCTTGTTCAGTTTCCAAAATTCAGGTTCATGATGATTTTCATTTCTATGGTCCTGTATGAAAACAACTACATTCAGGAAAATATGTACATGTTTTCAATAAATGCTGTCTGTTTTCCCTTCGAATGACAGTACACGGACAGCTCAGCATAGCGAGAAAAAGTCACATTGCAGTTTAATCATGGTATCACAATTTTCAATAACATAGAACTTTATAACTTATACGATGATCTGATGACGTCCATATATTGTAACTTTATTGACTCTATTACCAATAAGGCGTCTGATAGTGTTCCTATTCTTTGGAATTTCTTGGACCTGGAGTTAAAACAAAACATACACAACACACACGCAGTGGGTTGGTAATTTGAAATATCTACTCATCACAACAAGATCTTTTGGTTGTGACCTTTTCGAACTTTATGATTTGTACGTCCTCACCAAACTTTTGCCGACATTTTTGCTCGACATGCTCTTACCTATGTTCACTTTGCTTGGCAGGGTGAAGTTGGCCCCGCAGGACTAAGTGGGGACCCTGGTCTAAAAGGTCTCAAAGTAAGTATTTAAAAAAGCAGTTGTATCAAAGGGATTGCTTTTTCATATCTCCTTGTCAGTACTCACAAAATGTGATTCTACCCAGGGAGACAGAGGCGAACCAGGCTTATCAGGAGAAACCGGACCTCCAGGAACCAAGGTCAGACTCTTCATACAACCATGGTTAAAACAAAAGTTAAGCCGATATTGAACGCCTTACTTTATAAACCACAAAAAAACCCAAATCAGACTGACAGTTTTTGCTGTAGCGCAAGGCACCATTTCGATTTGAAGGAGCAGGCGTCTCAGGTTATCCCATGGTTGGCCACAAATCACAATTCTAAAAAACATGTGTGAATATGAACCATATGCTACGATTTAACATGCCAATGACAGGGGCAGTACTCATTTACACAAGGACATAAGAAAGTTGACTTATTATATATTTGTTTAATGCTAAGCATTGCCATAGTGGATGTCCTTGCTCAGATTGATTCTAACATTTGATATTATTCTAGGTTTGTATTGCTGTCTTTTGGCATCCTTGGTGATTAAAAGGGAAAAAATAAATATACAAAAAAACGTATTGGATATTAAATTGAACTTATTAAATGTAACAACAAATATTAGCAGATGTATTTGTGTACAGGGTCTTCCTGCTGACAAAGGGGAGCTGGGACCTCCAGGAGAAGCTGGACCAATGGTAAGATACAATTCTATTTACCATTGTCTACAATATGCATTGAACAAGCATTACTGACAGTTAAAGGATCTTAAATCCTGAAATTGGAGCTGTCAAATCATGATAATACAAATGATGCCAGATGAAACAACATCAAGCCAGATGAAGAGTTACTAATCTATAAGCATGTATGTTTGTGTTGGGGATTTCTTCTTCCCGTCAGAGTGCACTGTTGGAAGTTAGACAGATTATTACTGTGATAGTGTTGAATTTGGCTGCCTCTGCTTTACTTTGCCTCTCAGAGTGTGTTTTCTTGCCCAAACAGGGGGAGCCAGGACTACCAGGTAGCGGAGGACTGGTTGGAACTCCAGGACCAAAGGTCAGTGCAGACTGTAGCTTTTTGAGACCCTGACACACACACACACACACACACACACACACACACACACACACACACACACACACACACACACACACACACACACACACACTAAATACATGGGGGATAAGGCCTGGCTGACTACTGAACAATTTTACTGCTGAATTTTTCTGTGGGTTTAATCGCTTGAACGTAGAAAAACAACGGTACACATGTTAACTGTAGGATTGCACTGACTGTGTGTTTATGACAATTGGCTGTTAGTGTGCTTGTGAAGCAGCTCAAACAGTGACTGATCTCAGAGCTCATCAGTTACTCTTCTCCTTTTCCCTCTTATCTCTTTATAATTATAAAGTAGGCAATTTTCACTTTTTCTATTCATTCAACCACTGCATCAACATCTACTTTCAGAAAGGGGATATTTTTTCCTGAGATGACATCACTCAAATAATTACATTCAGATCAAGTTCAAGCAAATAAAGTTTAAAGCTTGTCTGATCCATATTTACTACACGGTCATAAGAGTCAGCAAGCACTATACCAGATCCAGTGAACTGGCTCACCTTAAAAGATGCAGTCTTTTTAGGGTATATATTTATAACTTAACTGTTCTGTCATGTGACTTTTCTGCATTAATCTAAATGTGCTACCTCAAGACAATTAAAGAATGAAAGGCCTGGAAGCAGTAACTTCATTGCCTCATTGTGTTACTATAATGCTGTGTGGCCTTAAATATTTTTCTGTAGCCACAAAACGGGCTCTTTAAGCCACGGTGGTGCCACATTAAGAGTGCAGACCTAATCCAACTTTTTAAATAAAATGATTTGCGATTGCATGTTATCCTACACACGAGTCAGTTCATGTCATTTATTTTATATGGAGATAAATGTATGAGCGCAAAAGTAGCCTGCTTTTTAAAAACAAACACAATACACATGTATGCCTTGATAATGTCCTAGATTTTTTGTGACTCAATCAAACGTAAACATTTCCGGGGATATTGGAATCTCCCAGGACACGTAAAACAGCACCAATTCAAAAACAGAAACCCAGGCTTGCGGTCTAGACAGAGGATTACATGCATCAATGTTAAGTCATACAGTAAAATTAAAAAACGCTTTTCACTTCTGGCAGTTAATTAAATTAACGCTACTGCTGCTGGAGTGCAGCCCACATTCTTATTGTATACGGGATGTCCCCTTGTGGTAACTTGAAAAGAACAAGTAGCTGAATGAAAGAGCACATGCACACATCTGCGAACATGTGAGCACGCCCACCAGCTCCAAGTGTGGGGTGCTATTTTGAGTCTTCTCCGAACTCCTTTGAGTGTTCTAGCAGTTTGCCTTGCAGCTATCCTGCTCAGTAATTTGGGACTCTTATGTTATCATAATAAACTACTTTCCCCGAGAATCTGGAAGTGCTCTGCACCAACTGGAGGGTGGTGGTATACAGAGAGCTGAACGGTACACAGTTGGTGCCCATGTGTGGATGTCTGGGGGTTGGGGTGTGTGGTAAATGTGTTTAGGAAAAATAGTAAACTGTTAACTGTGGAGTTTACCTTTGAAGTACACAAACTTCATCCAACTGCTGACCAAACCTTAACAAGTGCGTTCCAACCGATCCTACAATATTTTGCATTTCCTCAAAACATTTTAGGAAAACATTTATGGTGACCATATTGTTTCCTTTCAGTCAACACATATGCAAAACCTTGATTTAGATAGATCTGCAGCATGTTCTATACTGTATGTGTGATGGACTTTTTTTGGACTCACAATAATACAACAGCTAAACTCCTTGCCTGACGTAAGGGAAATATGTTTTTCATAAATCAAAGTCAATTGATTTCAATACTAAACCAGGACATCTACCTTTACACCCTTACTAATTCCTGCTCACAATAAACATCATAATACTTACTACTTTAATACCTGAGGGAAGAAGTCTCCCTCCCAGGATATTTAAAAAGAGCATATAGACAGCGGCGTAGAAGAGATGGTAGTCAAAGCTCACCAGCCCTGAGCAATTACATTCATGGCCCTGTCAATCCCTGCTAATGTTGTTAATCTCCTGAAAGTATGGTGCTCTCTAGCTGCCAAATTCTCCACTGTGTTCTCCAGCTAGTCTCTATCTGTTTTCTGCTTGGCAGTTGGGTGTAACCTATAGCTTTATCATAGTTTATATATTACTGCTAAGAACAGTACTGAAGAGAACAATAAGATTGAACTAAAACAATACATTGTTGGGCTGTAAAACCAAAACAATGAGCTGAAAGATGCTTAAACAATCTAGATAGCTGTAAGATGCCATTGGTCTCTTTGACAAATAAATGGATACTTTCTTAGTAAAACAAATATAGATTAGTGGTGCTTTAAACTCTTCAAAAAGAAGAACCATGACACTGTAGAATTAAATATTTATCTCCCAGGTTTTACCATTGGACCTTTAGGTGTTGTGCTAGTATTTGCACAATACTATAAAGTATTAGCTCTCTGACTGAAAATAAGTATGTATAAGTCTGTGGTTTACGTTTAACCACCAACAATTTGGTTCAGTGTTAACATCTTGTTTGGGATCTTGAGTGTTTCTTGATCATTGATGCAATAACATATTCTTACATCAATGCTTTCTGTTAAGATTGAATACACAGGACTTACATTAGACTTACATTAGATGTGCCAGATGGTTAACTTATCACACATTCCTGGAACAATCTATTGTTAAACTGCCCTTGGTTGCATCACAGATGCCACAATACCAACAAACAGACAGAATTTCCACTTGAATCGTCACAGAACATTGAACATCTTAATGATTAACTGGAAACAGTCAGCTTTTTACCAAACACAACAACTGTTGCTGTAAGGAGGTCTAATTGCTTGTTGCAGTTTAAAGGTCACAGTTCAAAAGCAGATTTTGCCTGCATTGGACTTAGACGGAAGGTTTTTATCCGTGAAATTAAGTGTCTAAATGCCAGAGTTAAGGGATTGCTGTGTTTATGTGTCCTGTGTGTTTTTATAGACACCAATTTAGTTTTAGATTCACAGCAGGTACGTCATACTATGTTGGATAACACATTTTAATCAATGGATGTTTATACTCATGTTTATACTATGTCATGCTTTTCTTTCATGACATATTGCAAATCATGTTACTTGAGATGTTTCTAATTAATCATTGTTCCCCTTCTTTGACCAAACTGGTCAGGCTTGGATCCCTAAAGCAAATAAGAAGTATTTTGGGTTCAAATTTTCTCTATTTGTTGAGGACTGACAAGGACATTCACTTTGGAGCACTCTGAATATAAGTACACCACAGGTGAGCTGAGAGCCTCACATTTCAGTTATAGCACAGAAAATCATTGAGCTAAATAGTTACATCTTTTTGATGTCACAGTGAGAAGTATTTTAGGCTTGATCAAAGAGTGTGGCCCTTTGATCGAAAATACTCCAAATGTATCTCACTGTGACCTGAACAATTAGCTACTTCAACAGCATTGTTTGTGAGTGACTATTTGTCAGGTTGTTCTGTTGTCTGGCTCCGATCTGGCTTTACATGGATATGTTAGTATTGACTAGGTAACATCCCAGAAAAAGTCAATTGAGGAGTGTTTTGTCTCTGTTATAATTGCCTAGTACAATGATTACTTGTTCTACAATTTGGTGAATGTAATGTCATTCTTTATTGCAACTAGAGGTGGAAGTTCAATTAAAAGTAGCACTATCACAGTGTAAAAATACTCAGATACAAGTAAAAGTCCTTCTTTCAAAATTGTTCTTGAGTAAAAGTACAAAAGTATTAGCATCAAAATGCACTTTTAAGTGCCAGAAGTAGAAGTACTCATTATGAAGAATGGCCCATGTAAGCACAAATATATTTTAAATGTTTGTTTTAAAAATTATTGAAGCATTTATGTGTTCATCACTTCAATGCAATTGGTAAAGGTGGTGTTTATGACTTAACTGTATGCTACTGGGTAGCTTAACCAATCTCATTTCAATCTGTATTTGTTGATTTATATTTTGTATTTATAACTTAAATCTTCAAAGTAACTAGTAACTCAACACATAAAATAAATGTAATTTAGTAAAAAGTGGATAATTTGCAGACAAAAAGAAAAGTGTAAAGTAGCATGATGTAAAGATACCCAAGTAAAGTACATTGTACACAGGCCTACTTTAAATGTATTTAATTACTTTCCAACACAGATTACAACTAATATTTTAAAGAAATTATCTACTTTTCATAAATTCAGGGACCTCGGAGAGGCTTTCTCTTATAAATATAAATCCAAAATAACTAAATACTATCATGTCAGGAGTTTTGGGAACATCAGGGACCTCTGATTTTCTTTTCCATTAAAAGTCCTCCTATGATGATGTATATGTATATGCCCTGACTCCAATGAGTCAGGGCTACAGAGTATCATTGAGGTCTGCTCTTAGTATTTTTTCTGGGAAGTTGTGGATTTTAATGACTTGAGGAGACGTTTACATTACACCACACTTTGTTGATTTTCTTAAGGTTTATTCTTGGAAACATTTAGACCACCATGCACCATGAGAGGAACATATATGTAGTACATAACTTGAAAATAATGTGATTTGATTAATCAGAGATTTTGGCGTTTCGAATATTTCAAAAGGAGAATCCGAATTGTCTGAACAGAATTTGCCATGTGACACTGCTATGTAGGCCCAACATTATTGCAGTTCACACAACTACTATAGAGAGTAAAAAGCCAATCATAAAGTAATATAAAAACATCCAGATGTTATCCTTGAACCAAATTAGCTTGCAGTGTGGTCGCCGCCTGAGGAAGAATCTTCCATCAACTGCAAATCATTTCTGTCCACCCATCCATGACAGCTCCATTGAATGTTAATGAGGCCTATACTTGGATATACTGTATAAGGCTTAAGGCTGTCTGCACGGCCTTTAATCACACTCTCCCACACATGCTAATACAAGTGCCGCCTTTCAGCATGATACTTTACCCA